TCGTTCCCGTTACTGACCAGCCACATATTAATCGTCTCTTTTTCAAGTGAAATGTAAATTGTTTGTGTGGAAACCAAAGGTGCTACGTCGGGTTCTGATGCCCTTGGTGGTGGAAATTCCTTCTGATATTTTTGCTTCATGTAATCTAGTAAGACTTGTGCTCTTCCTTGGTCAACGACACACAAAGCCTCGCCTAAGTTTGAAAGTTTCAACAAAGTTCTGCACAGGGCATCGTACGTTAACTGACGAGAATTTCGGAAGCATATTTTGTGAGCGTCCTCAGCCTTCATAATGTCCCTCTCATGATTTACGGCCTTTAAAGCGGACCGATAATGATCTAGAGCTTCATGTAGGAAATTGAACCTTTCCATAGTACGGCCAAGGATATAATTCGCTGTTCTCTCGCAACCTCGGCCTCCTTTTTCTTTTGCCAAGACAAGACTTTTCATACCGTAGTTAGCAGCTTCCTTGAAATTATTGAGTCCAAGATAGGCGTCACCCAACCTGTGGTAGACACAACTTTGTGGCATTCCTACCTTCTCTTCTTCAGCAATGCTAAGAAATTGGCCGAAGAATTCGATGGCTTTCCTAAAATCTCTTCGCTGCAGATGAGCTGAGCCAAGACCGAGATAGGATCGTGCCTCTGCTTTCCTATTCTTGATTTCTTTAGCGATGGCAAGTTCTATGTCAAAGTAATCTTTGGCTGTGCTGAACTTACCAAGGGTGTTATAAACACTCCCAAGGCTTTCGTAAGCGTTTAGTTCACCATCGCAGTCCCCTACGTCTTTGGCGATGTCAAGTTGTTGCATGAAGTTCTCTCTTGCTTTTTCATAATCGTTGACATAACGTAGATAAATTTCGCCCAAGAACCCTTTAGCTTTTCCCTCCGCAACTTTATCCCCAGTATTTTTGGCAATGATCACACTTTGCTCCATGTACTCTATGGCTTGTTTACAATCACCGAGGTCGTAATAAAAATGTCCAAGTTTAAGGTTTGCCCGTCCCTCTCCCACTCTGTCCCCAAGTTCTTTTGAGATAACAATGTACCTGTTGTAGTGTTCGATGGCTTGTTTATAATCACTGAGTCTATAATAGCTATGGCCAAGGGCGTGGTTTGCATGTCCCTCTCCATCTCGGTCTTCTAGTTCTTTAGAGATAGCAAGGTACTTGTTGCGGTGTTCTACGGCTTGTTTATAATCACTGAGTGCATGATAGCATTGGCCAATGTCGTGGTTTGCACTTCCCTCTCCATATCGGTCTCCTAATTCTTTAGAGATAACAAGGTAGTTGTTGTGGTGTTCTACGGCTTGTTTATAATCACTGAATTTATAATAGTATCGGCCAAGGTGATGGCTTGCATGTCCCTCTCCATGTCGGTCTCCTAGTTCTTTGGAGATAACAAGGTACTTGTTAAAGTGTTCTACGGCTTGTTTATAATCACTGAGTGCATGGTAGCATTGGCCAAGGGCGTGGTTTGCATGTCCCTCTCCATCTCGGTCTTCTAGTTCTTTAGAGATAACAAGGTCCTTGTTAAAGTGTTCTACGGCTTGTTTATAATCACTGAGTTTATAATAGTATCGGCCAAGGTGATGGCTTGCATGTTCCTCTCCATGTCGGTCTCCTAGTTCTTTGGAGATAACAAGGTACTTGTTAAAGTGTTCTACGGCTTGTTTATAATCACTGAGTGCATGGTAGCATTGGCCAAGGGCGTGGTTTGCATTTCCCTCTCTATTTCGGTCTCCTAGTTCTTTGGAGATAACAAGGTCCTTGTTAAAGTGTTCTGCGGCTTGTTTATAATCACTGAGTTTATAATAGCATCCGCCAAGTACGTGGTTTGCACGTCCCTCTCCATGTCGGTCTTCTAGTTCTTTAGAGATAGCAAGGTACTTGTTGTAGTGTTCTACGGCTTGTTTATAATCACTGAGTTTATAATAGCATCCGCCAAGGTCGTGGTTTGCACGTCCCTCTCCACCTCGGTCTCCTAGTTCTTTGGAGATAGCAAGGTAGTTTTTGTGGTGTTCTACGGCTTGTTTATAATCACTGAGTACATGATAGCATTGGCCAATGTCGTGGTTTGCACGTCCCTCTCCACCTCGGTCTCCTAGTTCTTTGGAGATAACAAGGTACTTGTTGTAGTGTTCTACGGCTTGTTTATAATCACTGAGTTTATAATAGTATCGGCCAAGGTCGCCGTTTGCATGTCTCTCTCCATCTCGGTCTCCTAGTTCTTTGGAGATAACAAGGTACTTGTTAAAGTGTTCTACGGCTTGTTTATGGTCACTGAGTTTATAATAGCATTGGCCAAGGTGATGGTTTGCACGTCCCTCTCCACCTCGGTCTCCTAGTTCTTTGGAAATAAAAAGGAATTTGTTGAGGTGCGCCATGGCTTTTTTACAATCAGCTATGGGCAGATAAAAGTGGCCATGATCGTGGTTTGCATTTTTCTCTCCAGCTCTATCTCTCAACTCTTGGAAGATAATAAGGCATTTGTAAAAGTGTTCGATGGCTTGTTTGTAATCACTGAGTGCGTGATAGCATCTTCCAAGGCTGTAGTTTGCACGTCCCTCTCCACCTCGGTCTCCAAGTTCTTTGGAGATAACAAGGTACTTGTTAAAGTGTTCTACGGCTTGTTTATAATCCCTGAATGCATGATAGCATCGGCCAAGGTGATGGTTTGCACGTCCCTCTCCACCTCGGTCTCCTAGTTCTTTGGAGATAACAAGGTACTTGTTAAAGTGTTTTACGGCTTGTTTATAATCACTGAGTTCATAATAGCATTGGCCAAGGTCGTGGTTTGCACGTCCCTCTCCACCTCGGTCTCCTAGTTCTTTGGAGACAACAAGGTACTCGTTAAAGTGTTCTACGGCTTGTTTATAATCACTGAGTTCATAATGGCATTCGCCAAGGTCGTGGTTTGCATTTCCCTCTCCACCTAGGTCTCCTAGTTCTTTGGAGATAGCAAGGTAGTTGTTGTGGTGTTCTACGGCTTGTTTATAATCACTGAGTGCATGATAGCATCGGCCAAGGTGATGGTTTGCATGCATCTCTCCATCTTGGTCTCCTAGTTCTTTGGAGATAACAAGGTACTCGTTGTGGTGTTCTACGGCTTGTTTATAATCACTGAGTGCATAGTAAGCATCTCCAAGATCCCACGAGACTTCGCCTTCGTAAGCTCTGTCGTGTTCTTGTTGGGCAATCCTTAAACTGTGTATAAAGTTTTCTATCGCTCTTTTAGTATCATCAACCTCGTTGTACGCTTCGCCAAGATTTTTGTAAGCGAACATTTCTTCCCTTGCGTCGCCATCGAGTTTCGCATTGACGAGATCTTGCTTTCGTTGCTCTAGCAGGTCAGACTTTTTTTCTGCCATGTTTCAATGTGCTTCTTATCCAGCATAAAACTAAGAGTAAAAATATGACAAAGTACAGTGAGTACGTTTTTGGAACAGATATCAACTTTTCCATAAAATTGGCCTACAGCAAGGCTAGCGTTAGTCTGAGATGACTCAAGATAATACCATGGGGGTAGAAACTGCTGTTGAAATTTTAAAACTCCGCTTACTGCAAAGAGAGGCAGCATACTGAAATAAAGCGGAACTGACAAAAATCATAAGGATGGAGGGATAAAAAATAAAACTATCAATTATAATGTTATCACGTTTGGTGTGAATAATTAATTCGGTTCTGTCAAATTTTACTCGTATACATATGTCCGGTGCCCTCACATAGGAACGTAATGTAAAATGATATGGTATATAAGTATCCAGTGGAGCCTTGAGCTTCCTGTTCATGTCGTGGATCATCGAAAGCTCGAAGCCTTTTTTTAATATTTTGTCATCATTTTTTTATTTTTACAGTAGCTCAAAACCTCACTGGAAACTCCTATTACC